TTATAAATGCTAAGTTATTCTGTAATTTAATTAATTCCTGTGAGATGGAATCAACGTTATCACTAAGGATCATTAGTACTTGTGCAAAATGGGCATATTTAATTAAATCTTAGTCTCTAGTAGCATCGGATTGATTTATTTTACCTATTAATATTTCCAATTTATTTTGATTATCCACAATGCTATCTATTATTTTGGAGTATTGATTTGTCAAATCTTTAGTTAAGCTTACGTGGTTATTAAATTCCGTTACCATTTTATTTTCGTCTTCGCGAATGTATTTTATTGCGCGATTAAAATGATCTGCATCTGTATAATCAAGGTTATCGGTTATACTTTTTATAATAGAACCGAGACCATCTATAAGTCCTCTTTTCTCACGGTTCGTTTTGAAGCTTTGCAACTGTATAGTGACGCTTTCAAGCTTATTTTTAAGATAATCAATATGAGGCTGAAATAAGGAATTAGTTATATTGTTAAGGTTAGGAGTAATACTAATTAACTGTGTTTTAACAGAATTTACTTTGTCTCCTAATTCTTGAAGATCCACATATTTTAAAAAAGCATGGTAGTGGGATAGGATTCGAGTGGGGCCTAGTTTGAAGGGTAATATACCGGATATATCCGGATATACCGGAGTATATCCGGTCCGTCACTAAGACTTTCAAGTCTTATCTCCTGCATTAGAGCTGGTCCCAGAAGGAGATGAAGTACCAGGAGAGTCCTGTAACAATTGGTTCGTTTTAGGTATTCTCTTTAATCGGGTTTTTGCTATGGGGTCTCGTTTTTTCTTTGTATAGATGTGAATTGGCAGATTTGCCATTACTGTGTCGTATGTGTATCGAGGAGCTAATTTCTGACGGGATGCGAATGGATTCTTTATAAATATTTGTTGTTCTGGGGAATACTCAGCTTCCGGTTCGCGGTTTTTATTGCGAATATTAGTCAAGTCTTTACGCATGTCATTACATAGGTCGTGAATAGTTTTATAGGTCTCAGTCATTCTGTATTTGTGGTTTACTACATACTGTTGAAGTAGATGGGCGGATAGATCTATGTCAAAAGGATCGCGAGGGTCAAAATGTCCTGTGATTACTTCTATCGGTTTGCATTTTGTAAAGCTGTGTATACTATGATTGTAAGCTAATAGTGCATAAGGCATAAGATTAATAGCAGGTTCATTCTTTTGATTTATCTTTAAAATACGGAGATGTTCTAATATGGTGGCGTGGAATCGTTCAACAATACCATTTTCATTAGGAGCATGTGGGGCTACTCTATGGTGCTGAATTTTATGCAGTTTAACGAATTCTGCAATAAGTTGGTTGGTAAACTCAGGCCCATTATCGGAAACTATGGTAATCGGAATGCCATGATGTGTGCAGAAAATCAGCAAAGCTTGTACTACACTGACAGCAGTGCCGTCTCGCAGGTAATAAGCTTGAGCATATTTAGAAAAAAGAATCTACTATTGTTATATATTTTTCCCCTTGAATGGTTAGTAAATCTACATGAACTTTTTCAAAAGGCTTAGAAGCTGATGGTACAATTTGGAATTTCTGTTTAACAGGATTGCGGTCGTACTTAGCTTGTCCGTATACTGTACAGTCATTAATAAATTTAGTGATATGCTCTCTCATTTTCGGCCAGAAATATTTACGGGATAAAGCCGAGAAACACTCGTTAATGCCTCGATGGTTCGTTTTTCCATCGTGATATTTATGAATGATTTCTTGCTGTCTTAGATATTCCCTAACGTTTTCCAATTCACTTTTTGTTAGAAAGAGGTTAAGAGATGAACTTTTAAAAGTATTTTGTATAATTGGTATGACAGTGTACATAGCAGATGTTGGATATAATCCTGTCCTAATTTTTGGATGAACGTATTCTTTAATAGCGTTAAAGACATCTTCCTCTATGTTCGATTGAGCTATTTGAATAGTAATGCGAGTGTGTGTTTCGAATGGCTTTTGACAACTGATCTAGCTTTTATGTCCCCTACTATATTCAAAATTATCTGCTTAGAAAATTTATTTAGCGGTTCGTCAGAAATAGGAACTTCGAGGATGAGGTTTTCTTTATCTGTATGAACGGTGATGGTTCTGGAATCGTCTGCGACTTCGGTAGCCGTTATAGTCCTAGAGTCATCTAATGTGCGTACCCCTTCGGAGGGATTAGGTAAAATGGAAAGTAATTCGTCTATTATGGGTCTTAGCCCGTCATTGTGGAGCTCGATGCGCGATAATGCGTCGGCATTCGTGTTACACTTGCCTTGCTATTTATCATCATCATCATCATCATTACAGCCCTTTACAAGTCCGCTGCTGAACATAGGCCTCCCCCAAGGTATGCCACAAAGCACGGTCCTGAGCCACCTGCATCCATCGACTTTCTGCATGTCTTACCAGGTCGTCACTCCATCTAGTGGGGGGTCGCCCCACACTTCGTCTACCGGTACGAGGCTGCCACTCGAGAACCTTTTTCCCCAACGGTTGTCGGTTCTTCGAGCTATATGGCCGGCCCATTGCCACTTCAGCTTACTAATCCGTTGGGCTATGTCGGTCACTCTGGTTCTATTGCGGATATCCTCATTTCTAAGTTTATCACGCAGAGAAACTCCGAGCATAGCCCTCTCCATAGCTCGCTGAGCGACTTTGAGCGTCCTCATACGGCCAGCAGTGAAGGACCACGTCTCAGTTCCATATGTCATCACTGGCAACACGCACTGGTTGTACAACTTAGTTTTCAGGTTTTGAGGTATACCTGACGAGAAGATGCGTCGTAATTTCCCGAACGCTGCCCAGCCGAGTTGAATCCGTCGATTGACCTCTCGGTCGAAGTTGGACTTACCTAGCCGGACTATTTGTCCCAGGTAAACGTACTCGTCAACAACTTCGAGCTTAGTGCTCCCAACAACTACCGGCATAGGTGTGACATGGACATTAAACATGATCTTTATTTTGTCCATGTTCATCTTAAGACTTATCCGTTGGGAGGCACTATTGAGGTCATTGAGCATAGTGCTTAAGTCCTCCAGCGATTCTGCCGTAAGGACTATATCGTCGGCAAATCGAAGGTGAGTGATGTACTCGCCATTGATGTTAATACCGTATCCTTTCCAGTCCAGTAGCTTGAAAACGTCTTCCAATGCAGCGGTGAAGAGTTTCGGGGAAATAACGTCACCCTGTCTTACACCTCTCTGCAGTTGGATAGGTTTCGTACTCTGGTTCTGTACTCGGATAGCCATCGTAGCCCTACTGTACAAACACTTCAGCACTTCGATATACCGACAGTCAACTTGGCACCGCTGAAGAGACTGTAGCACCGCCCAAATTTCGACGGAATCAAAGGTTTTCTCATAGTCCACATACGCCAGGCAAAGTGGCAGATTGTACTCTTTGGACCTCTGTACAATTTGCCGAAGGGTATGCATGTAGTCTATGGTACTAAAGCCTTTTCGGAAACCGGCTTGTTCGGGAGGCGGCTGGAAGTCGTCGAGTCTGCGTGCGAGACGATTCGTAATGACTCTCGAAAACAGCACGTAGACGCGGCTCAGAAGGGATATCGGTCTGTAGTTCTTCAAGAGGGCGTTGTCACCTTTCTTGAAGAACAAGACCACCGCACTTCTGCTCCACGCCTCCGGAGTAGTGCCACATGGAGGACGGAATTAAAGAGCCTCTGAAGGACTTCAAGTACCGGTTTTCCACCCGCTTTCAGAAGCTCCGCTGTAATTCCATCCTCGCCCGGGGACCTGCCGTTTTTAAGGTGCTGGAGAGCCTTTCTAATCTCGCTCAGACTGACGTCCGGGATATCATCGGAATAGTGTCGGATAAGACCCGCTCTTGGATCGTTACTCACACTTGCGTGTGGCTCCAACGATGATGTGTACAGCTGCCCATAGAACCTCTCAATCTCCCTCAGAATCTCAGGTGTCCCGGAAACGATGCTGCCACACTCAGTCTTCAGCTTTGACAGTTGGCTCTTACTGGCAGACAGATCTCTGGCAAAGACTTTGGAGCCCTGGTTCCGCTCAATCGCTTCTTCAATACGAGCAGTATTAAATTTGCGTAAGTCTCGCCGCATGTATTTGGAGATCTGTCTGTTCAGTTGCCTGTATGCTGTCGAATCTGTTGACGATTGCAGCCTCATCTCCCGTCTAACAGCCATGAGATTAAGAGTGTGATCGGAGAGCTTTTGTGTTCTTCTGCGGCCGGTCTTGCAGAACTTAGCTCCGACCGCATGGACAGTTTCCACGAGCTTGTCATTCATATCGTCTACTGCATTGCAATCTTCTAGGCACTGAAATCGGTTACGTAACTCGACCTGAAAGGTTTCGGGATTCTGGATTAGAGCACGAGGGGGACGGAGCGTTGACTTCATTAGACGAGACCTCTCCAACTCAACGTTTAGGTTCAGTGTGCCTCTAACCATTCGGTGATCGCTGCCAGTTTTCACCCTTGCGATCACTGAGACATCACTGAACAGTTGGCGTCTGGTCGTCATAATGAAGTCAATCTCATTTTTTGTCGAACCGTCGGGGCTCGACCAGGTCCATTTCCTGTGGGGCCGCTTCTGGAAGAAAGAGTTCATCATAAAGAGTCCCTCTTTCTCCATAAAGTCGGCCAGCTGCTGGCCCCTACGGTTCCGTTGCTCTACTCCAAATTTCCCTACCTTCAGCTCACCGCTTTCTTTTGTGCCTATTTTTGCGTTGAAGTCTCCCATCAACACCGTGTAGTGGGTTTTGGAGGAATGCATGGCTCTGGAAATAAGACAAGACATAACAATAAGGCAAGACGGCAGGCGGCGTGAAGTGCTGGCTGCCTGCTGCGGTGCCTCCCGCGGGCGCGGCGTTGACCGCTGCCCTCGCCTTGTGTTGAACATTTGCGGCTGCAATTTGTTGTCTACCTTGCGATGTTGGTTTAGGTAGTTTAAATAACCAGTGTTGCTGGTGGTACTGAAAGTAGAGCGGGTAAGTATTAATAGAAGACATTATGAAACGTCTACGTATTTTTGATTCCATAAAATGACAATCGCAAAAAATGCGACAGACGTCGCTTAAAGGTTTTAAAATTTTTTGTTTGCCAGTTTCGTCCAAAATGATCATATTGGCAACAGCAACTAGGGCTGCAATGGTGACGCCTAGCTGCTTTTGTTTGAACAAAAGTGACGAGTCTCGTTTTATAGTGGTCTCTGTCAGCTGCTTTAATCCCCGAGTTTAGAGCTGGTGACATCAGGAGGTCATAGTTGGAAGGTATAAGATAATTCTTCAAAAGACTTTCTTTCACGCCTTTTTCAAGTATGTCTTGCCATCGATTGGCTATATTCTTATAAATTGCTGGACCCATTGGGGTCTCCGTCTTAGGTGCATCACCAAGCAAAACCAGTACGTCTTCGTCGAGTTGCACCTCTAACATCATCGGCTGTGAAAGTTCACTGCCAGCTGATGTTCCAGGTGTTGGAGAAATCGGTCTGTCGTCAACCTGCGGTTGCGGCGACTGTATTGCCATTCTCGGCACCGGCAATTTTGGGAACGCTGGCGGTAGAGAACCAGTTCCAGGAGAACCATTTCCTGACAAGATGGGATATGTAGGTGAACCTCCATATCAACCAGAAAAGGAAACTCCACGCATGACGCTGGTGACAATGTGGGCACGTGCTCAGCGGATGAAGAGGTGAATCTGCAGCAAGCAGTTCTTATTAGAATCTTTGTACTAAAAATGTGACAGTATCAGCCCAAATTTAGCAGTACGCATCACTTTTTTCATGACAGAGGTAACCCAAATACGGTATCTCGCATCAAAACTCTATATTTTTATTTACATCAAAAATGACGGTAGTAGCCCAAATTTAGCAGTACGCATCCATGTATTGAATGTAAATTATAAAACTTACCGCTTAATTCCTCCACAAACAAAGATTCTCCCGTATAGGTAACTTTGTTTAACTGCTATTCCAGTTTTAAAAAAAAATCTCGATTTCGTCTGCACTTTTTTTTCTGTGTTCTGTTCTGTGCGACATTTCTGTGGGTACTTAAGAATAGGACGAATATATTATTATACACATTTTTTTGTAGAAACATAATTATATAAGTTATTATAATTTGGAAAAATTTTTCATGTTTAAATCTGCTTAATATTCTTTTTTTTTATTTTTAGTTTTAAATAGGAAAGTGCAAGTGGTATAAATTCGTTCATTTTTAACTCTCGCGTGCCCAGCATTTATGAACGTCTTTTATTCTAATATAAATAAATATATTTGTAATTTAAATGTTAATAAGTTTTGTTAAACCTACATTTAGCATGTTTTTTATGTTTGACTTGGATACCTTCCAAAATATTCAGGTAAAATATTAAAATGTAATTGTGATATAATATCATGTAATATTACATTAAATAAGCAAATATAGTATACAAAATAAATGACAAAATTTAAATATTGTTCTCGAGATAATTTACCTATTTAACAATACAATCTACTATTACCTACGGGTCATTCTACCTATGTTTATTCTATGATAAAAAAAACAACCGCGCTAACACATATTAGAGCACATTTTTTGTTTGAGATAGCTGTTCTAGTACGTAAGTACGTATTAACTTCAATGGATAATTGATAGAATCAGGCGTTACTTTTCGGAAATCAATCATAACAATTATAATTTGCAACCATCCCCTTAATTAACTACAATGATGTTTATTACCTGGATTGAAGAGCACCTCTCGCCCTCCCTCAATTGCGTACACTAATGCCGTTACCACTACTCCCGGTACCACTACTCCCAACACCATTATTCCAGGAGGGAGGGCGGGAGGTGCTCTTCAATCCAGGTAAGACACATCATTGTAGTTAATTAAGCGGATGGTTGCAAATTATAATATCTTTATTATAATTGTTATATTATTTTCGAATGTGGGCGTTTGAAACTAATATAAAAATATAAATTACTACGAAGCGATCGAGTTTTATTGATGTATGTTTCTAAGCAAGATGCGGGACGTATAACAGGGTGAAATAGCACTTTAGGAATTAAAAACAATATTAGATAATTTTATAAGTGCTATAGTCTGAATACGATGTGCAGTTACTAAAGCAAAGAGTGTTACGGTTTTTTTGAAAAGAGTTTCCAAGTCGAGGTCGGAGTTAGGCCACTGTAGAGTTAAATTATTTTAAACTATGGTTGGGTCCCAGGTCAAATTATACTTTTGACAAGTAGGCCTTAACCTATAAACTCTCCTTTCATGAATCGTTTAAGTCTGTCGTCACGAATTAAATTATCTTGCAGTAAGGATATTGCCGATTTGTAAAAGTTAATAGTGCCATATTTGGCACCTTTAGCAGAAACATTGGAAATAAAATTAATTACCGCAGGAGCAGAAACTACATAGTAATCATAAATCTGGTATTTTACAATATTTTATCAAAATTTTATCAAAATTTTAATACATCCATCATATTGCTTATATGTACAAGAACACAATATAATTTCTACTGATCTCGAGGACAAACATCTCTTAAATAAAGTTTTCCTGAAAGCCTCTCGGTTACTAAGCTCAAGGTGCGGTGTAGGCTGTGAGGCATTTTTAAAGGAAACAATAACAAGTCTTTATTTGGTTTTAAATATATTGACATAGGACAAATTAGATTTTGGGAACCAAGGTTGCGTAGGCCAATATGGCACTACCAGAATACCTTCTACTCTTTCATTAATAATTTTTTGTATGACCTTTGTTATTAGAGAAAAATGTGGAAATGCGTAGAATAACATATTTTTCCAAGAAACGGTAAAAGCGTCAGTGGCCTAGGCATCAGGCTAATTTTTCCAAGCAATATATTTATGGCTTTTAGCATTGCGTCTGCTAGCAAAAATATATATCTGGGTAACCGTAGCATAGAGGTAATTTATTAAATGCTTTAGCATGAAGTTCCCATTTAGTGTCCAAAAATTTCTTAAGAGACTTTTGATCTGCTTCATAGTTGTCTTTAGTATTTCTATAAGAAGAGAATATAGTTATTGCACGAATTTCACGCCATTTCTATATTTGTCCAAAAATATTTAAATGATCGAACTGTACGCTACCCATCCTATTAATACAAAGACATTGCAGTAACATTATCAATTCGCAATCATTTTTAATTGAATTTAAATTATCGAACATTAATTATTGAGAATACAAAACAAAATTAAAATAAACTGTAAACAAAGTAAACTCTACTTCGGTTTAACAGACTATATGAGCTAAAAACCTAAGTAAAATAGCCTAAGTAAAATATTAAGTTTAGTAGCAAGCGGAACCCATTATCTTTCGGTTTGTAATTTGCAATGGGTTAGGGTGGGTAGGTTTTTAGTAGGAGTTTACTTTGTTTATAGTTTATTTTAATTTTGTTTCGTATTCTCAATCTTGTTTCGATCTTTTTGGTGCATTCCTTTTAAATTGTCTTTTATGCAGTCGGGTTTTTGATTTTTTTAAATTATTTATTTTATTTAAGACGTTTTAGCGTGCCTGTCATTAGCGTAAAGAGTTTTGACGATTTTTCCATAACTGCGATTTAGAAAGATCGATGTATATTTCCTGAAATAAACGGTATTTATTTTTGTAGAAAAATAAATACCGTTTTTGAAGAAAAATGTAATACATTTTTCTTCAAAACTTCAAAGTATACGGTTCAAAATCTATTGAAAGCAATTTAAGTATTTGTTTTGTTTTAAATGTTATTGGGCGACGGATATTAATAACTATTCTTTTTTTTTCATATAATAGCACGAGGCTAGACACAAATATTGCACATTTTTAAACCAGCAGTTAAAAACTTTATAAACCAATTTATAACTCCTAAATAAAAACCTGCAACTTATATTCGGTATTAGATAGGTTTGATTATTTTTATTTCATTAAAGTGTTACTATTTGCGCCAATTATCCGCCATTTTGTTTATTTTTTAAAAAGCTATCTAAGAGCACTTGGGTATTTAAGACGCATAAAACGAAACCTTAATTGTTGCAATCCATCCAGTCGTTTGAAAAATAGATAAGAGGTTATGAAGAAATTTACAAACATACTTAAATTTAAACATTTTTGTAGTCCCCTTTTAAATTCCTTTATTTTGATATAGTATTCGATAGCTTTGGTTAATTTTTTAATCGTATTTACTATATTGCGTCAAAAATCCGCCATATTGTTTATTTTTAAAACAAAGCTATCTAAGAACACTTCAATTATTAAGACGAATAAAATGATACCTTAATTGTCGAAATCCATCCAGCCGTTTGGAAGATACGAGGTAATAAAGAAATTTACAAACATACAAGATCGCGCGAAAAACATAACCCTTCCTTGACAGTCGGGTAAAAAGCGCATCATTATATTTAAAGCGAAGGTATTTTTTTATGAAATTTTTATATAGAAGGTAGTAGTAGAAAATAGGCGTCTTTTAAATCTATGGAAGCCATATAACAGTTTTTGGTCATCAATTTTGATACCGTTCAGTAATCCTCCATCTTAAAATGTCACGTTTCTACGAACTTGTTTAAGCATTTAAGATTCAATATAATTCAATTTTCCTCGTTCTGTTTTGGCACTAAAAATACACTGGATATGAATTCGCTTCCTTTATGTGTGCGGTGGGATATTGCACCAATATCTAGAAAGGTTTTATTAGACTTGTTAAATTATGCGCTTCGTGGGATGTTTTTGAGGTAAACATAAGGATCACTAGTACGATATCGCGTACTTTTAAATGGTATTTGGTAACCTTTCATCCAAGATGGAATAGTTTTGTATGAAGTTATTTCAGCGCATTTAATAATAAATAAAATTATATATTGAATAAAACCATATTGACACTACAAAGTTGAAGCCCTGACTCCCGAACTAGCAATAGCTGTGTTTTTTATTTAAATCATAGATGCAACACACATATTCATGCATATTTTTATTTTTTCTTGGCTTTGCAAAAAATTGTATTTATTTTTGTTATAGAGCAGGATCTTGGACTATTACCTTGTTCGGAGTTGTGATAAGATGATAAGCCATTTCGTAATTGTAATTTAATGCAAATGGGAAGGAATCAGTTCTTACACACAGCTATTGCTAGTTCGGAAATCAGGGCTTCAACTTTGTAGTGTCAATATAGTTTTATTCAATAAATGAATTTATTTACTATTTTTTATATTTATTTCTTCATTTATTGTCAAAGTACTGAAGTTGTCCCGAAAATGGTACCTCGTCTATAATTTTTATCAAAATTTTAATAAATCGATCATATTGCTTATATGTATAAGAACACAATATAATTTCTACTGATCTCGAGGACAAACATCTCTTTTATTGCACGAATTTCACGCCATTTATATATTTGTCCAAAAATAATATTTAAATGATCGAACTGTACGCTACCCATCCTATTAACTGAAATAAACGGTATTTATTTATTACATATTTCTTCAAAACTTCATAGTATACGGTTCAAAATTTATGGAAAGCAATTTAAGTATTTGTTTTGTTTTAAATGTTATTGGGCGACGGATATTAATAACTATTCTTTTTTTTCATATAATGGCACGAGGCTAGACACAAATATTGCACATTTTTAAACCAGTAGTTAAAAACTTTATAAACCAATTTATAACTCCTAATTAAAAACCATGCAACTTATATTCGGTATTAGTTAGGTTTGATTATTTTTTATTTCATTAACGTATTACTATTTGCGCCAATTATCCGCCATTTTGTTTATTTTTTAAAAATCTATCTAAGAGCACTTGGGTATTTAAGACGCATAAAACGAAACCTTAATTGTTGAAATCCATCCAGTCGTTTGAAAAATAGATACGAGGTTATGAAGAAATTTACAAACATACTTAAATTTAAACATACAAATTATATATTTTTGTAGTCCCCTTTTAAATTCCTTTATTTCGATACCCTATTAGATAGGTTTGGTTAATTTTTTTAATTAACGTATTTACTATTTTGCGCCAAAAATCCGCCATATTGTTTATTTTTTAAACAAAGCTATCTAAGAACACTTTAATTATTAAGGCGAATAAAATGATACCTTAATTGTCGAAATCCATCCAGCCGTTTGGAAGATACGAGGTAATAAAGAAATTTACAAACATACAAGATCGCGCGAAAAAACATAACCCTTCCTTGACAGTCGGGTAAAAAGCGCATCATTATATTTAAAGCGAAGGTATTTTTTTATGAAATGTATATACAGAAAGTAGTAGTAGAAAATAGGAGTCTTTTAAATCTATGGAAGCCATATAACAGTTTTTGGTCATCAATTTTTATGCTGTTCAGTAATCCTCCATCTTAAAATGTCACGTTTCTACGAACTTGTTTAAGCATTTAAGATTCAATATAAATCTATTTTCTTCGTTCTGTTTTGGCACTAAAAATACACTGGATATGAATTCGCTTCCTTTATGTTTGCGGTGGGATATTGCACCAATATCTAGAGAAGGGTTTTAATTGACTTGTTAAATTATGCGCTTCGTGGGATGTTTTTGGGGTAAACATAAGGATCACTAGTACGATATCGCGTACTTTTAAATGGTATTTGGTAACCTTTCATCCAAGATGGAATAGTTTTGTCTGAAGTTATTTCAGCGCATTTAATAATAAATAAAATTATATATTGAATAAAACCATATTGACACTACAAAGTTGAAGCCCTGACTCCCGAACTAGCAATAGCTGTGTTTTTTATTTAAATCATAGATGCAACACACATATTATCATGCATATTTTTATTTTTTCTTGGCTTTGCAAAAAATTGTATTTTTGTTATAGAGCAGGATCTTGGACTATTACCTTGTTCGGAGTTGTGATAAGCCATTTCGTAATTGTAATTTAATGGAAATGGGAAGGAATCAGTTCTTACACACAGCTATTGCTAGTTCGGAAGTCAGGGCTTCAACTTTGTAGTGTCAATATAGTTTTATTCAATAAATGAATTTATTTACTATTTTTTATATTTATTTCTTCATTTATTGTCAAAGTACTGAAGTTGTCCCGAAAATGGTACCTCGTCTATGTCCGGCGAGACATCGTCGACTTGATTGACGGCGGGCGGCGTGAAGTGCTGGCTGCCTGCTGCGGTGCCTCCCGCGGGCGCGGCGTTGACCGCTGCCCTCGCCTTGTGTTGTACATTTGCGGCTGCAATTTGTTGTCTACCTTGCGATGTTGGTTTAGGTAGTTTAAATAACCACTGTTGCTGGTGGTACTGAAAGTAGAGCGGGTAAGTATTAATAGACGACATTATGAAACCTCTACGTATTTTTGATTCCATAAAATGACAATCGCAAAAAATGCGACAGGCGTCGCTTAAAGGTTTTAAAATTTTTTGTTTGCCAGTTTCGTCCAAAATGATCATATTGGCAACAGCAACTAGGGCTGCAATGGTGACGCCTAGCTGCTTTTGTTTGAACAAAAGTGACGAGTCTCGTTTTATAGTGGTCTCTGTCAGCTGCTTTAATCCCCGAGTTTAGAGCTGGTGCCATCAGGAGGTCATAGTTGGAGGGTATAAGATAATTCTTCAAAAGACTTTCTTTCACGCCTTTTTCAAGTATGTCTTGCCATCGATTGGCTATATCCTTATAAATTGCTGGACCCATTGGGGTCTCCGTCTTAGGTGCATCACCAAGCAAAACCAGTACGTCTTCGTCGAGTTGCACCTCTAACATCATCGGCTGTGAAATTTCACTGCCAGCTGATGTTCCAGGTGTTGGAGAAATCGGACTGTCGTCAACCTGCGGTTGCGGCGACTGTATTGTTTTGCCGGCAAATTTGGGAACGCTGGCGGTAGAGAACCAGTTCCAGGAGAACCATTTCCTGACAAGATGGGATATGTAGTGAACCTCCATATCAACCAGAAAAGGAAACTCCACGCATGACGCTGGTGACAATGTGTGGCACGTGCTCAGCGGATGAAGAGGTGAATCTGCAGCAAGCAGTTCTTATTAGAATCTTTGTAATAAAAATGTGACAGTATCAGCCCAAATTTAGCAGTACGCATCACTTTTTTCGTGACAGAGGTAACCCAAATACGGTATCTCGCATCACAACTCTACATTTTTATTTAGATCAATAATGACGGTAGTAGCCCAAATTTAGCAGTACGCATCATGTATTGAATGTAAATTATAAAACTTACCGCTTAATTCCTCCACAAACAAAGATTCTCCCGTATTGGTATCTTTGAAAATGGTACCTCTTTAACTGCTACTCCAGTTTTAAAAAAAAATCTCGATTTCGTCTGCACTTTTTTTCTGTGTTCTGTTCTGTGCGACATTTCTGTGGGTACTTAAGAATAGGACGAATATATTATTATACACATTTTTTTTGTAGAAACATATATAAGTTATTATAATTTGGAAAAATTTTTCATGTTTAAATCTGCTTAATATTCTTTTATTTTATTTTTAGGTTTCCACAGGAAAGTGAAAGTGGTATAAATTCGTTCATTTTTAACTCTCGCGTGCCCAGCATTTATGAACGACTTTTATTCTAATTTAAATAAATATATTTGTAATTTAAATGTTATATGTTAATAAGTTTTGTTAAACATACATTTAGTATGTTTTTTATGTTTGACTTGGATACCTTCCAAAATATTCAGGTAAAATATTAAATTGTAATTGTGATATGTCGGAGCAAGTACATCATCGGTTGACAAAGCATAAGCTTTGCATTGTCTTTTAATTGATTATAATAATCAACGGTGTATAATTATTAATACTACAATTTAATAAGCGCAATTTATCAGAAACATAACATGTAACTAGCTAGTTCTTTAAAACTCTTTTTGGTTTACAAATCTCTTTATTGACCACTAATTCCTGGTAAAACAACTATTTATTCCATTATCAACTTTTAACTCAAATATGGTTTTAAATCGTAGAATAAATAATTGTCGATTTGATTAATAATCCTGATAATTGAAATTGCTTAAGTAACCTAATGAATTCAATAAAAAGTTATTGTTTAGTCAAGTATTGACCAATCAAATCGTCGACCAATCAGAGCACACCTAAGTCGTTATTACGTTTTCCTTATTGAATGAACGCGGCAACAGAATCACTTCAGTTCAGTTCTAGCGCTCGTCAGTGTAGTTCTATTTTCCTGGTAAAACTTTGCAAGTATTATTTGTGAGTCTCATAATAGGAAGTGTAGAATAAAGTTGTAGTGCAAAATTAAAAGTGCGTGGTCTTAGATCTCTTTCATTACAATGGAAACAATATGCGGTAGCTCGACTGAACCCTTGTCAAATGGGGACAGTGGTGCTGCCTCACCATAAAAACAACCACTAGGTTTTCCGCTCCAACAATCATGTAGTTGTGTCCTTCACATTGCGCCGGTGTGTAATTGTGACGGGGACACACTGCAGTATGGTCAAACTGTAATTACTCTGTGCTGAATGTATAGAGCGTTACGCTGTCCTATTATTGATAACAATAAATTGCGCAAGCAAGAGAGCAAGTTGAACATCAGCTCTCACATTTTTACCATTTTTAATAATTAACACTATCCTGTTATTTCCCACACAATTTTGGTTTATCGTGTTACACACTATTTCCGACAGATATAATATCATGTAATATTACATTAAATAAGCAAATATAATATACAAAATAAATGACAAAATTTAAATATTGTTCTCGAGATAATTTACCTATTTAACAATACAATCTACTACGGGTCATTCTACCTATGTTTATTCTATGATAAAAAAAACAACCGCGCGAACACATATTAGAGCACATTGTTTGTTTGAGATAGCTGTTCTAGTACGTAAGTACGTATTACTTCAATGGATAATTGATAGAATCAGGCGTTACTTTGCGGAAATCAATCATAAAAATTATTAATTTGCAATGTTATAAGTGTTATAGTCTGAATACGATGTGCAGTTACTAAAGCAAAGAGTGTTACGGTCTTTTTGAAAAGAGTTTCCAAGTCGAGGTCGGAGTTAGGCCACTGTAGAGTTAAATTATAGTCACTATATGGCCGGCTCATTGAGCTGATAATTAGACAAGCGCTATTTTTCCTCACTAAATATAATATTTGTTAAAAGAAATAGCAAAAGTGATTTTTAGCGTAAACGCCAGCATTCGTAATTGAAAAACGATTTTATTACACGCTTTACACATTTAAAACTTTATGCACACACTTTATATATTGGCGGGATAAATGTGTAAGTTATTCTCTACCAGACCTTTGAGTGATGCAGAGATAGAATGAAGTAGGCGTGGCACAGTGTCTTTTTACACAACATATAACGTAGATTGAAATGTAAAAGTTACATAGTATATATAGTAATGACTTAGAAAGTCCATTTTATGTAGTAGCTAAAATAATGGGGACTAGTAATCCACCGTTTAAATTAGATTTCTGAAGCGACCACGCCTCGCCTGGTTTGTTTTGGCCTCGTTTCAAAATAATAATTTTACAATGGTCGCTTCTAATTCTTCTATACTAATTTTGCTACAAAGAAAAATATATATTTAACAAAAATTTGGCATAGCTGGAAACTTTCTCAATTAAAGTAATAAAAATATGTATACTGCCAAATAGCTTTACGAGCTGCAATTACTTAAAATATTGTTTTATTACAATCTAATCTTTAGGTATGCAATGCCATTTCTGTTTTGTGACGTTGACGATTAATGATAGAATTTTTAATATTGAAGAATACAAATGTCCAAAATACAATGATTTGGTAAATGTCATAAATTTAAACAAACGTTATGTGTGTAATAATCATATATTTGCAAAAAATAATCACAAAATTTTACATTGTTCTTGTGAAGAAGTGTGGGTTTTTACAAGTGGTTATTGCTTGAAGATAAAATTTTAAATTAATCATAAATTGTGTTTGATTTCACAAAAACATTAGTTATAGTACAAAATATTTATTAATTGTATACAACATTTTCATTTTTTGTTTCAACCCTTAGAACTTTAGACGTGTGTAATGTTTCACTTTATACATCCGTTTACTGTTATTGTGGCAGGACCAAATGGATGTGGGAAGTCAAATTTTGTAACAAATTTCATAAAATCAGTTACAGAAATATGTAATTGTGATTTTAATAAGATCAAATGGTGCTTTGATGAAATGTAACCTTTATATAATTTACCAAATGTTAACTATCATCAAGGAATTCAAATATTTTCGAGCGCATGATGTACCGAACTCGGTCTGCCAAGTTTTGTTCCGTGATGGGAATAGACGGCTCCAGCTCAGCAATAAAGTAATGCTTCCGAGCCCTATACGCTATCCCCACAATTTCTTCACCTTTCATTTATTTATTTATTATATGTACAACAAAACAGATAACAATCAAAATACATAAAAAAAATTTCGTCATATAGTACGCCCGTAATGCGTTTTCGTTCATAGATTTTGTCCAACGCATGCGACGTGCTCCACCAGCGGCGGGTGCCGCTTGCTGAGTCCGAAAAAACCCAGCCGACACCAAGCCTTGGTGATGGTGGGTATGATGGGAATGGTGGGGATGATGGATGCGTGGCGCTGCTAGGTGATCATGCAGCTCCTCGCGCTCGGCTGGCGGCCCGCATGATGCCACGTCCAGCGCCAGCTCCAGACGCGCCCCGGTGACCCCCAGACAGCGGCCCTATGCGCGTTCCTCTCTGTGCCATCATTCATTTTATGGGCGCCAAATAACGGGAGACGCCAAACCCGGCACCGTTTCGTGGTTCGGTCATATGCACATACGGACCTTTGCACCCACAATTTTGCCTAAGCACGGCGCTCACACCTTTTGGCAGGGCGCTGACTGACTGCGCCGATGTACGGTAGCAGTTTTGTCACATAACTTTTACGTCAGCGGGCGATGGGTTCGTCACTTCCCTACGCCATTTCCATTATTATTATGGGATATATATATATATATATATATATATATATATATATATATATATATAGTTTTCTCATCTGGTTGGGTTCTATAAATATATAATTATAAATTAAAATGATAAGATAAATATACATAAATATCAATAAAAAATACTAATAATACATAAATAAATAAAGATCCAACTAGATGGAAGCCCTCGGCAGGGGAGACCAGACGGCCGAGGGTTAGGAGGAAAGGGAAAGAAACCGGTGGACGATGCGGGCGGTATCGAGGAGCACTGCCTTCTGCATTTGAGCCCGGAGCGGTCCGTCGCGGAGTCCCAGTCGTCTCAGATGACTCGAGAGGCTGACTGGGATTAGCCCATTCGCAGAGATGACTACAGGAATTATTTCGTCAGGCAGACCACCCCACATGTCTGTCACCTCGTAAGGAAGATCCAGATATTTTGTTCGCTTATCTGTTTCGGCTTTCACGAGGTTCTCGTCATACGGAATGGTAATGTCGACCAAAAATATTCTTGACTGTGCCCGGTCTATCAGCACAATATCAGGCTTATTCGCAAGAATAGTCCAGTCTGTGATGATGGCCCGGTCCCAGTAGAGCCTGGCGCGGTCATTTTCGAGCACGGCTTCCGGCAAGTACTTGTAATACGACAATTTCCGGTCCACGAGACCGTATTTCAGAGCGAGCTCCTGGTGTAGAATTCTGGCTACAAGGTTGTGTCTGTGCAAGTACTCAGAATAAGAAAGCGCTGAACAACCGGAGATGACATGCCTAAGCGACTCACCGGGATGGTGACAAACTCGAAAGACGTCGACGGTGTCATCCTTTAGGATGTATCTCCGATAATTGTTGGTCTTAATAACCTGATCCTGTATTGCACAGACAAAACCCTCGGTTTCCCCGAAGAGGTCACCGAAACGTAGCCAGTTGAGAGAGGCGACTGTATCTACGAAGGGCTCTTGTAGAGCACTATAGTACCT